AAAAAGAAAAGTTACAGCAATATCCATTATATTGGTCATTTCATGTGTTGCACGTGCGCGCTCTTGCAAGCACGTGCGCGCAAAATGACCTTCGTTCGGCAAATCTACATAACATGTCTACTAACCCTAAAAACATTTTACCTTAGTCGGATGTGTAGTTTACAAGATCACTCGTGGACAAAATTTTCCCAGGAAGAAGAAAAATAATAATAACTAGAATCTTGTTGCCATGGCAACAAATAAGTCTTCCGTTCTTCTAAATCTGTAAGAATTTGCTTTTTTCTCTGCAAAACACATAGATATCATACTCGTACTCTGAAAGAAAAAAAACTGCAAAAAGGTCTTTCAGTACTTAAGGTACTTTGATTTTCATGACCAATCTTGTTGTTATGCATTTTGGCACTCGTAAGAGCTACACGTGTATCATAGACAAACCAACGGACGAACGAACACCGTACTCTCATAAACTTCACTGTGTTTATGTTCTGGCACAATTGTGATGGTGTTATAAAAAAATGTCATGAACTAAGTTAGTACCACATTAAACGTAAAGTCGTTGATTTTTACAGTAATACTATCGAGATTTGTCAGCAGAAAGATTATTCAACTACAGGAATTCTTCAGCAATCGATTAATTGATTATATGTTGTTTAATGTCCCTATCGAGAATTTTTCACATGGAGAAGCCGCCACTCGCCGGTGGAGACTGCAAAATGTTGTCCTATAATTTGGCTCTAATCGCCATTGAGCAGTGAGGAATCTTTTTGAGTCAGTACCATCTGACACACGGGACCTCGACTTAAACGATCTCATCTGACGGACCGGTCTCCACGTCCCACAACTGAAGTCCATAATACAGATATATGATGCTCTAGCCATGTTTTTATTTTATATTTCATTTCTCAAATTTGTTGCATCAGATTTTCTTAAAGATCATACTTAATAAAAAATGATTTCGAACAACTTTATTGCAATGCATACAGCGTCCGGTGATTTTGATTGATTAAGCAGAAAATATACAGAGAGTGACTATGACGGACTATGAAATCAGAAAATATTTAATAAAGAATGGGTACAACTGATATAGAACTGATTTTTTTGTCTATGAAAATGATAGGATAATCAGGATTAAAAAGGAATATCTCTCTCTCTCTCTCTCTCTCTCAGACATGTAAATTTCAGTATCTTGCGTAATGAAAAATCTACTATTATAGAATATGAATTCTGTATACATGTTAATGGTAATTATAACCAAATGTTCCAGACTTAATTGTATAACGAATTTATAATTCAAAGGCCTATAGTTGCAATAATGTCTCAGAATAAAATCAGGAAGGGGGGGGGGCTTCAAAAGAATTACATACTCGGTAATTCTATGCTTTTTGAATTAAAAGGAAAATACTTAAGGTTGCATGTACATATGTATAATTATATAGCATTGCATAAAATTGTGTTCATTCGTATACTTTATCTAACATATCAACAGACCTTTGCAGATGTTTTTGTATCATGTTTTTAGCGTAGCATTATTTCACACAGAAACGCGTAACTTTCACATAATGTTAACCCTTTGAGTACTAGTATTTCACAAAAATCCAAGAATCGCTTTTTCTCATCTTTAATAACTTCTCGGGTATATAAAAGTACAGATCATGTATAATAAATAACACTATAAGACTTTCAATCAATGAAATATACGTGTTAAAACCAAATCCAATCTATAGATTGATTTTCTTTCTTTTAAGTTGCAGATATCAATTTATTTCTAAAGGCTTTACACCTACTCTTCTATCTCTCAGTTCCCTTTTGAGTACATATAATATTTTAGAATCGAAAATAAAACTCAGATTCCGGGATAATTTCGCATTCAAATTAGTAAGAATATTTTTTTTTAATATAATAGACATTACAGATTTACACTACGCTGACAACTTTAAACGATGCATATACTGAAAGCAGTAACCAACGTAATCTTTCATGCAGAAGTGGATATGGAAACTCAAAGTCTAATTATTTTTTTTATGTGAAAAGTGTGGATATAGACGTCTGCGACGTCATGGATACTACCTCCGCCTCTATGATCTATCTCGAAAGTTCTATTCCCACTTACAAGTCAGAGTTATCTATCTTTGCTCATTGTCACTACGAAAATAGAGAAAATGAATTTATTGACGGAACCTTAAATCTCTAAAATGCAGAATCCGATTGAATAAATAATATGTTTAGTATTTTTGTAGAATAATTTGTATATACATCGCTGTAATGTATTCTGCGTACAATATTATTTTCTTCAAAGTGCTTAGTTGACACAGGACGGATATTTTTTTTATATATAAATTTGTAAATCAAAAACTTTTAATATACAGACTAACACTACACAGCCAAATTTAAACTATATGCATATAGTGAATTAAGTAACATGCAAAAGAGAGAGTATTGAATGTATGAATATGTTGATCTGGAGAGCGTATATATGTCTCTAACGTCATCGATACTATTTCTGCCTTTATCTCGAAAGTTCTATTCTCATTCACAGGTCAGAGTTATCTTTCTTTGCCCACCTTACACATACTACGTAAATAGAGAAAATTTCGGTACCGAAAATATACAAAATGCGGAATCTGATTTAAAAACAAATTATATATTTAGTATTTGTAGAAAAATGTCTGTTTTACATAAGAATATCTTGAAAAAATATCTAAAAACAAAAAATTCAAAAATTGACCAAAAAGAAATTCACTTCCGGTTCGGACAGGAAGTACTGGAAACACACAAAAACAACTTCAAAACAAATAGAATATCATGATCTAATACTCCTGTAAATTTCATTTCTTTACCTCAAACCGTTTCCGAGAAAACTGCCGGACAAAAGTCCATTTTAGAATTCGAAAATCGGCCATAACTTCGGACCGGAAGTGAATTTTTCAAAAAACGGAATTTTATATAAACTTCATATATCAACCTACTTACATGAGAAAAATTGTGAAAATCTATCCAGCCATCTCTGAGTAATCGCGCTCACAAAATTTGGGAGGAATAATAATAATAATAATAAAAAGAAACAATACAAACACTATAAGTCTTCCGTTGTGAACGGAAGACTTAATAATAATAATAATAATAATAAGAAACAGAGTAAAAACAATATGTTCCCCAACTTCGTTTGGGGAACATAATAACTTTCCCCTCTTGAGATGTTTTCTATTTTCTTTTTACAATTCCGTATCTCCGTACATGACGCAGGTTTAAATGTCCAAGTAAGCTGTCGAATGTAAAAGTAAGTCTCTTCATAAAACTCCAATAATACAAGTTTTAATGTGTAGTACTGCTTTAAATTACACCAATTATAAATTTCATACTTTTTCTGCTATTTCCTTCAATAGAGAGCTTGCAAATTAACAAGAGCTACACATAATTGGAAAATTTAGGTGTATTGTGCAGGAATATGATCCAGAATACGATAGTTCTTGATTCTTTCGTTGGCACGTTCCACATGAATCATGTTTCCCAAATCTTATAACAAAGCTGTGCTTCTTCCTTTGTGAAATGGGCTTTGGATGACAGGAAAGGTGGTATGTTTCATGTCACTCCTGATGGAAGCTTATCAAAAATGATAAAGCCCTTATCTGCAAGGATCATATCACCTGGCTGCAACATATGCAATACACCACAATGATCAACAATATACACTTATTTAATGACTACGAGGTAAACAGTCAAAATGTTGTCCCGAGGTAGTGGGGGAGACCTGGGAAACTGTTGCCAGAGGCCGAAGGCCGAGGGCAACAGTTTCCCAGGTCTCCCCCACTACCGAGGAACAACATTTTGACTGTTTTACCGAGTAGTCATTGAATAAGTGTTTTATTACCTAACCTACTATATAATTAATTAAATTGGAATAAAAACACAAACAATCAATAAACGTTTTCACAACTGTGAATTCACATACTTGTCTATTATTTAGCTGAACACATAATACAAAGATTAAATTAATATTTTTAATTTAAAGTAATACTTAATAAATGGGTTGTTTGTGTGTTTTATTTAAATTTGATTAATTATAAAGCAGGTAATTAGTGATGTCGTGGTCATCAAAACGCTTGAATATCACGATGACGCTTGAAACAGTCAACAGTTCATTCTGTGGACCGGTCAACAGTTCACTGTTTCATGATCACGCAAAAACATAAAGTAAACCGTGAAACAGTTCAAAATGCTTAATTATAATTTATATAGTAGGTTAGGTAATAATTGCAGATATGGCAGATGTCTGATAGTACGTCCAGTGTGATTTCAGTGGCATCCATTGCTATTCTCGAGTAGGAAAACTCATCAAATGATTTTGGCATTGATCCTTTGCATTTCAACTGGGAAGGTATCCCAACAGCCTTCATCACTCCTTCTAACAAGATCTTGTTCAGTGCTGTAGCATAGATATATTCAATATGTTGGAGACGGTACTTTTACTGGTGTTAAATCTTTCTGCTAAATTCGAATCCCTTAAATTTAGGCGTAAGAGTCATAAGGAGCTGGCCACTGGTACTGATTCCTTGTACTGTCCATCCATTGTAGTAATCCAATGGACCCATTCTTTCAAACAAAGAAATTAATATATGGAAAACTTCAGCAGGAAATGATGTATATAACAGCATCTATAACAAAACAAATCATGAAAATGAAACCGTTATTTATAATTTTTTTTATTAATCATGATCTTTGATTATGTATACTATTTTATAAAAAAAATTAACATCTGTGAAAAAAACGCATTTTCAGCATCAAATAAATTCAACATAATACATGTAACATGTGTCAAATGGATTCTGATATAAAACTCGAGACAAAAGAGCAGCTGCTGTTGTTTAGCATTCATAACTACACCAAATGACAATCAGCTCATCAGTGAATATTATACAATTATTGCTGGTTTTTGAGGTCAATACAATGATTTAGCCATCTGAGGAGTACAATATTCACCGAGCCCGAAGGGTTCTTCAAAGATGGCTAAATCATTGTATTGACCGAAAAAACAGCAATAATTGTTTTATTATATGATTCACTGATAATTGATAAAATGATACAGCTCATTACTTGTTTGCATTTTATTAAGTCCTAGCCAAATACATGTACAAGAGAGTAGCAGAATTAAAACTTTAATAAACCTTACCAGGCGTATCAATTTCATTTTTTTGTTAAAATCAATTTTAGAAAACATAAAAAAATATATATTGTCAGTCTTTTTATAGGATAGATTTTGAAAGGAAGAAGTATTATCAGGGAAAACTGACTGCCAAAAAGTAAAAAAAAAAATAATGTTCACAGGGCTGCATTAACAGATCCCAGGGATCTGTTAAGGCTCTACTCAAATCTCTTCCTCCAAGGAAGAGATTTAGACATCACGGATGAAAGTGTTCCCACGGAGGGGGAGAGTGCAGGCATTTTCATCAGCCGCCTAAATCTATTTTGTGATGCAGTTGATGAAATTTCCTCCCTGGAGAATGTACGTCTTCCCCTGGAGGTGACTTTCCACGGTGAAGCGGCTGTGGATTTGGGCGGCCCCAGGAGGGAATTTTTCCACTCGTTCATGGAGGAGGTGAAACACCGACTCCTCCATGTAAATGCGGGTGCCATAGAGGTGCTTCTTCAAGAAGAAGCACTAGCAAGGCACCATTACTTTTACGCTGGCCTCGTAATCGGTAGGTTATGAATTATATCTTAAATAGTCATTTCTTAAAAACAAGTTTCTATTTCGGTTTTGGAATAATTATTGTTTCTATTTGTACAGGCCTGAGCGTTCTTCAAGGAGGCCCTCTGTTAGGTGGCCTACCAAATATTATTGATGGCTGCACAGAGGCCCATTCCCAGTTAAGGCGCGGACTGGAGAGGACGGGTGTCCTTCAGGTATGTGAAGTTTGTGGAAAAATGTCTATATACATTGTAATAAAAAATAACTTGCCGTACTTTAGATGTATGTTTCCAATGGTGTTCACTACTTTCAGCTGATTGAACAAACGAACGTAAAGTACTTATTTACAAATGGAACAAATGGAACCAACACGCTCAATGTTTCCAGACTAATGCAAATGGTCCATGTTGATTTCTCCGAACCTGGAAGTAATGCCAGAATAAAGGAGGAGAAATCCGTTCAGCACTTCGTGAAATACCTCCGAGAAGTGTACGGTAAGATCTAATATCGACGGGCTAAAAATTCTTGTAAGGAAAATTTTATTATGCATAACGTCTGTTTCTGAGCATGTTGCACATGCGCTATGGGGAGATTAATTTTTGTCTTTTCTACATTAGCAAATCATTCGCTAACCAAAATATAGGTCGAATCTTGCACATGATCCAATATGGTATATAATTCAAAGCAGAATCTGTCAACCAGTCAGTTCACCCATGCAGATGCTCTGCCTTCTCCGTAATTCTCAGACGAGCAGATCTTTTATTAACAAGACTGGTATTTCCTGTCGCTGTCGTACAAAACCAGCGACAGGGATATTCGATATTTTAACATTTCTGTCAGTGAGAATTTTTATCGGCCAATGAGTGCAGCCAGCTAGCAGATGGCTTTTTATATTACTGATTGTTATATTACTGTCTGTAATATATAGTTCATACAAGACAAACAAGGCCAGTCTACAAACAGGTCTTCAAAGGTAATTGTGCAGCCTGTGTACATGCTCAGAAATATGCTTCAATCAAAAACATACAGTTAATTCTGTTTTTAGTTCACATCCGATATATCCGATGTGACACTTGAAGAGAGCACCAGCGCACTGGGCGCGCGCCTCCATGTGTTTAAAATGTGTAATTAAATTAGAAAAAAAATTCTCAAATAAGGGTTGTCCTCACCTTAATAATATCAATGATGCTTGCTTTCTTTGAATTAACGTACATGTATGTATGTTATTTATATTATACGGAAAATTTAAGATGTCCATTTCAATCATTGTAGATTTATTTATAGCGAACATGCACGTAATTTCGAGCAATAAATTTACAGGCGTAGTCCCCCTCTTGTTCTCACTTTTAAAAACAGAACTTTAATATATGGTAAATAGAAAGTCATTTTCAATATTTATTTAATATACTTCCAAGGGGTAGAGTGGGTCCAAAATACTTTATGTAGGAATATATATTAAATAGAGAGTTTCTCGGTCCAAGTTTGTTGAAATCTTGAGCCCCAGAGAAAGGAGGGGCCACAATACCCTGTACATGACACAAAAGAACAATGAATTAAGCTATAAATATTTTAGGGAATTATTTTCTAGTAGTTTAAATATATTTTTATTCAAATGATACATGTATCTAGGACATGTAGTGTCAAGTAAAGATTTTTATCATTCATTCATGATAAATAGTTTGCAGGAAACATTCTAAGTTTGAAGAAAATTTTTATGGATAAACTGCATAAATACAAGTAAAGTTTACCTGTTTTTTGATTTTGATTTTTCAGAGACTTGATTTCAACAGTTGGAGCTGATTCCTGTTTTTCTGATGCACATCCCTTGTTCCATGCTGCCTTCCTTTCATGTGGTGCATCTTGAACAAACTCTTAAAAAATCATCCAAACAAAAATCAATAAGTATATGTTTGATGTAAAGGCAAAACAGAGGTCTTCAGTATATATAAGATATATGTATAGGGGAAAATAAATTGCAAAAGATTTTATAAGTATGATCTCACAATTTAAAATCAAGTTTTGGGTAAAAAATTGGAAGACCTTATCTGAAATATCTGTTGTTAACTGAAAGACAATAAAAACTAGTGCTAATTGTAACGGGAACCGTTACAGATGTTCCCCAAACGCTCCCCAACTCCCTTTTGGTGCCATATCCCCTGTAAGCCTCATTAAATAAGACAAACTCTATGCATTTGAGACTTCAACAACGTTTACCCAGAAGTGTACCAAGTTCATTTAAATTTTAGCATTGCACGCGTGTGCATGTGAATGCATCAGCGTAATGACCATATCATCTTGTCTACACAATCTATATATTTTAATATACTAAATATGAAAGTATTTAATCCAAAAGTATTAAAAAAATACGCTCATTCAAGTGTATATTTGATTTTACCCACTTCACGTGCACGCACGTGCATACACGAGCATGGTGACCATACCTTCTTGTAGAAGTCTATTACATCTATCTATGTTCTAAATCCCACCCCGTTTGGTTTGAAAACAAGGGAGTTATAGCAATTTCAAGTTTCAGCCAATCAGATTGCAGCAAATGTGCATGCGCGTGATTTCATAAATTTTTTCTATATCGTATCGTAGGATATCCTAATGAATGACTATATTTTAAATTTCAAACCATTTTCTCAAAAAACAAAGGAGATATAGCCATTTTAAGTTTCAGCCAATCAGATTGCAGCACACGTGCATGCGCGTGATTTCTTGAAATGTTTTGTATATCATATTGCAGGACATCTTAATGTATCACTATATTTTAAATTTCAAAGCATTTCGTCAAAAAACAAAGGAGATATAGTCATTTAAAGTTTCATCCAATCAGATTGAAGCACACATGC